TTCTCTTGTTCCTTTTTCTCTCTCCTCTCCTTCTCTCTCTCTCTTGTATTGAATTTGGAAGATAGAGATACAGCGATGATAGGTGAAGAGGGGGCGAGAGAAAGAGATAGAGAGAGAGGAGATAAGAGATGAGGGGGAAGGGGGAGAGAGAGGAGAGAGACAGAGAGTAGAGGGGAAGGGGGAGATAAGAAGCGAGAGAGAGAGATGCTCTCTCTCTTCTGCCTCTCTCCTCCTCTCTCTCCTCTCTTATCTTCTTTTCTCTTCTCTTCTTTCTCTTCCCTTCTTTTTTTTTTTGCGATCTCTCTCTCTCCTCTCTCTTTTTCTCATATTCCTTTTTTTTCTCTCTTTCTCTTCATCGTCTCTCTCTTCTGCTACTCTCTCTCGTCTCTCTCTTCTCTTTCTCTCTCTCTCCATCTGGCTCTCTCTCATACCTTCCTCTGCCTCTCTCTACTCTCTCTCGTTCTACTCTCTCTCTCTTCTACTCCTCTCTCTTCTCTTTCCTCTCCTTTTTTTCTCCTTCTACTCTTGCGGTCTTTCTCTTCTCTTTTCTTTCGTCCTCTCTCTCTTTCGCTCCTCTCTCTCTCTCTTTTTCATTTTTTTCTCTCTCCTCTTTTCCATCTCTCTCTCTCTCTCTCCTCCTCTCTCCCTCTCTCTCTCTGCTTCTTTCTCTCTCGTCATCTTCTCTTCCTTTCTCTCTCTCGTTCTCTCGCTCTCCTCTCTCTCTTCTCTCTTTCCGCTCCCCCTCCTTCGTCCTCATCGACAGAATTTCGAGAAGATAAAGTAAGAGTCCGCAGGGAGTCACGAAGCATTCCCCTTCTTTGCCACCCCCTCACTGAGAAAGAAAGACAGTGAGAAGACAGATTTTTACTGTGTGTGTGTGTATGTGTGTGTGTGTACTCTACATACCCTGCGCTCCCTGTCTGTGTTCCTGTAGGTGAGTGTGATGAAGTTGAGGTCAGTGGTCTGTGAGTCTGTCTGACGAGCCTCGATTAGCCGGCCGATGTAGCGGTTGACCCGTGTACCAGGCGGGTGCTGCACGGCACCCGAGAACGACGTCCGGCTACGCACCTTCTCCGATGCCGTCCGCAACGCACGCCTCTGTCAGGGACACGGGACAGGGGACAAGGTGTTAATATTAGGACAGCATCAGAGTCACAAGGACTTGAACTCTAACCACAGGAGAACCTGGAAGTGGCCATTCCACCTTCATACAAATGGTCATTCCAAGCTTATATAAGTTCTTATAGGTCCTACAGCTTATATAGTTATCGGAAGAAGTGTGCAAAGCTGTCATCAAGGCAAAGGAAGAAGAAGAATCTGAAATATAAAATATATTTTGATTTGTTTAACATTGTTTTGGTTACTACATGATTCCATATGTGTTATTTCATAGTTTTGATGTCTTCACTATTATTCTACAATGTAAAAAATAGTTAAAATAAAGAAAAACCCTTGAATGAGTAGGTGTGTCCATACTTTTTACTGGTACTGTACATGCATAGATAATAAACAGAGAATAGCAGCAGCGTAAAAGAGGGGGTGGGGGGGAACAATGCAAATAATCCGGGTAGCCATTTGATTAGCTGTTCAGGAGTCTTATGGCTTGGGGGTAGAAGCTGTTAAGAAGCCTTTTGGACCTAGACTTGACGCTCCGACACCACTTGCCGTGCGGTAGCTGGAGTCTTTGACAATTTTTAGGGCCTTCCTCTGACACCGCCTGGTATAGAGGTCCTGGATGGCAGGAAGATTGGCCCCAGTGATGTACTGGCATATCACCTGGCATAGAAAATGTGCTCTCTCGTCAGGACACTGTTGTTCAGAGGAGCTAGCCAACAACACAGCTAACACTTAAAACTGAAGCTGGAAAGACTGCAAACTAGCTGCATTTATTTTCGTTTTACCTATTTTCTATTGACATTTCTATGTATATGTCCATAAAAATGACGCTGATTTATGATTTTGACTGGCTGAGAAAAGCTGTCTGCCTGTCTGTCTCGTCCCGACTCCCAACCCCTACACGTTAATTACTATGGGACAGCTGAAGATCGAATTTAAATATTGAAACAATGTTCAGAGAGACAGACCGCAAGTGTTATACAAATCTCCACTATTGAAAATCAATTGCTAGTCTAAAAGAAATGGGAGATAATGTCTAGATGCTTTTTACAGCGGAGATAAAGTTTATAAATTGCCAGGCTGGTCTGATGAGACGGTGGATTGCGCAGTGAGATGGAACCGAGTCAATAGGCATTTCAACGTCATAGCTTTAGCCGGTGGTACCTTGTGGAATAGACACCGGCTGGAATGTGGTTTTCACCAATCAGCGTCCAGGATTGACCCACCCGCTGTATAATGTAATATTATTGGGTGTCATAATGCTAGCATTAGCAGTGAGCTCTACAATGTAATACTATTGGGTGTCATAATGCTAGCATTAGCAGTGAGCTCTGCAATGTAATACTATTGGGTGTCATAATGCTAGCATTAGCAGTGAGCTCTGCAATGTAATACTATTGGGTGTCATAATGCTAGCATTAGCAGTGAGCTCTGCAATGTAATACTATTGGGTGTCATAATGCTAGCATTAGCAGTGAGCTCTACAATGAAATACTATTGGGTGTCATAATGCTAGCATTAGCAGTGAACTCTGCAATGAAATACTATTGGGTGTCATAATGCTAGTATTAGCATTGAGCTCTGCAATGTAATACTGTTGGGTGTCATAATGCTAGCATTAGCAGTGAACTCTGCAATGTAATACTATTGGGTGTCATAATGCTAGCAGTGTGGTGTCATCATAACGTGGCTAGACAAAGCCCTGACAGTTATTAGAGGATTACACAGTTACAGGGCTATTCCTGACAGAGAAATGATGCCTCCACACACACCACCAATCATAACACACTGAGTCATCACTGAGTCACAGTTTTCAACACCCACCCACCCTATAATGTAGAAGTTTGTTTTGGCATTAGAGTTAGCAATGATATCTGTTGCCTTGGTTTTAACCAAGTTTCTGTAACTGACTCCGTGAATGAGAGTGTGTGGGCACAGGGAGGTTTATAGGAGTGATCCAGATTAGTGTGTTAGTGTGTTTGTGTGTGTGCGTGTGCGTGTGTGTGAGTGTGTGTGCGTGTGTGCGTTCAGGATTAGGAAACCGAGCAGGATTTCACCGCTGGACATAAAAACCTGTTAAAAGGTTTTTAGCACTCAGCCATATTATTTCCCAGAAATATGAATACACACACACCAACACATTAACAGCAACAGACACACACCTTGTCGTCGTCGTCGCAGGTCATGACGTTAGAGAAGGGGATCTCCGCCTTGAACATCTTCCTACAGTGCATGAGCTGAACCAGCAGGTAGCACACTGTCTTAAACTTCATCTTCTTGGCTGGCTTGATATCCGACAGGATCAACCCTGGGAAGATCTGAAGAGAGAAGGGAGAGAGAGGGAAAGGGGGTGGGGGAGGGAGGGGAGGTGGGGGAGAGAGGGAATAGATGGAGCAGGGGGAGAGAGAAGGGAAGGGAGAGAGGGGAGAGGGGGAAAGCAGGGGGAGAGAGAGGAGTTTAAGTACCAGAGAAAGATCAACTTCAGCCTTTATAATGGAAACTATAAAATAGTCTATTAACTGGTAGTGTTATGTTATAGGGTCTATTAACTGGTAGTGTTATGTGATAGAGTCTATTAAATGGCAGTGTTATGTGATAGAGTCTATTAACTGGCAGTGTTATGTGATAGAGTCTATTAACTGGCAGTGTTATGTGATAGAGTCTATTAACTGGCAGTGTTTGTTATAGAGTCTATTAACTGGCAGTGTTATGTGATAGAGTATTAACTGGCAGTGTTATGTGATAGAGTCTATTAACTGGTAGTGTTATGTGATAGAGTCTATTAACTGGCAGTGTTATGTGATAGAGTCTATTAACTGGCAGTGTTATGTGATAGAGTCTATTAACTGGTAGTGTTATGTGATAGAGTCTATTAACTGGCAGTGTTATGCGATAGAGTCTATTAACTGGCAGTGTTATGTGATAGAGTCTATTAACTGGCAGTGTTATGTGATAGAGTCTATTAACTGGCAGTGTTATGTGATAGAGTCTATTAACTGGTAGTGTTATGCGATAGAATCTATTAACTGGCAGTGTTATGTGATAGAGTCTATTAACTGGCAGTGTTATGTGATAGAGTCTATTAACTGGCAGTGTTATGTGATAGAGTCTATTAACTGGCATTGTTATGTGAGAGGACATCAAGACTATGAGGAAGAAAATAAGTGTGTGTGTGTGTGTGTGTGTGTGTGTCAAACCTATCTTAGTGAGGACTATAACGATTTCACCCACTCCTATAAACTTGTGTGTGTGTGTATGCCTGTCTGTGTGTGTGTCTGCCTGCTCTAGAAGATACTTTAGACCTGTTGTGGTTATTAAGTGTTTCAGGTACCACAACTAAAAACAGACATTTGAACTGAGAGCAGCGTGAAAGTATGATTCAACATGTATGATTCACATGTATGATTCACATGTATGATTCACATGTATGGAGCATTACTGGGACTGGAAGACACTGACCCACAGCCTAACACTCTGTGGACCACCTCATAGGATAAATCATTTAGTGGAATCATCATGCGTGAACTCCGGAGGTGAATCCTCTGCTGTCTAGAGTAGATTACACAGAATGGTGCAAATGAAGTTGAAGTTGACTAATCTGGGCAACCCAGAACCAAATCACACATGAGGGGTGGCCAGCCACTGCATTAGGTTCTGGGTAGAGCACAGGAGATGTTGGACTAGTGCAAGTGGCGGAACCAGGATATGGACCCTGGTGCACTATAAAGGGATTAAGGTGCCATTTAGGATGAAAACAGTATGAGTCACTGTGTACCTTAAGTCTGTGGAAGGGTACAATTTAAGATTGTTGTGGTTGTGTGTTTGTGTATATAAGGTTTTTGGACTGTGTGTGTGTGTGTGTGTTTGTGTGTGTTGTTGTGTACCTTGCGCCTATGGGAGGGTATTATGAAGAAGGTCTCGATGTTGTGTTTCTGTAGGAAGGCGTGTCTATCATGACCAAAGCCAGGCTCCACCTCATAGTCTCCATTCAAACACTCTAGAGTAGTCCTGGTTATGTGGACCTTACTGAGAGAGGAGAGTGAGAGGAGAGAGGGAAAAGGAAGGGGTATACAGGGAAAGTGGAGAGAGAGAGAGAGAGAAAGGGAGTAATTATGGATATGTAATTAATTAAAGGAGAATCAGAAACTGTTTTTCATCTCTTCCAGGTTTCTAAATCATTAGTTACATTTCAGTTCATCTACTGAGCTCACTGGGATTGGAATAAAATGGATCCCTACCCTGCTATCTCTTCTCATTAGTTGGTTATTGTTTACTTGAATTGTATCGAATTGAAAGCACTCCCCTTTTTGTACACTCAACATTTCACAGCTCTAGGACCAATGAAATGTATTAAAAATAGCTTCTGTAGTTTTGTGATTGTATGTTCGTAAATAGTAAAATAGCTTTTGAAGTTTCAGTTTTGGAGATACAAGGCTTTCTTTCAATAGCGAGACAATTCTCTCACAAAAGAGCTTGACAAAACTGTCCATGTCATCAATATGTGGTGTTTCTCAAATGACACCTTACTCCCTATATATGGGCTCTTCATGGGCTCCCTATGGGCTCTGGTCAAAAGTAGTGCACTACTGTATGTAGGGAATAGGGCACCATTTAGGACAGACATGGTTTCCAGTAGTCATACGTACCCAGGCAGTCCTCCTGCCTCCATCACGTTGGCCAGAGTGACATCATTGGACCAGACATCATACTGCCACTTCCGGAGTCCCAGAACCCCACAGAGTACCCGGCCCGTGTGCAGACCCACACGCATGTTCAGATCCACCTCCGTTGCCTCCACCACAGACCTAGGAAGAGATAGAAGCACATCTTCCTCGTGAAATTTACAGCCTGCTTCTAGTCTAAAGCAATGTTGTAGATCGCTTTATATAATCAGAATCCATTTTTTTCACTTCAATATCTTAAACTAACAAGCGGTTTGCTTTTTGCCCTTTACTTTAACAATGGGTACGGCCCTGAGTATGCACTCTTAGAAGTAAAGGTGACTGGAATAACCCCTTTTCAGGGGTTCTAAAAATTGCATAACCAGTGGAACCTTTACAGTTCAAAAGGTTCCTCGAGGAACCCCTCTGAAAAGGGTATTCGAGGAACCCTTCTGAAAAGGGTCTTCAAGTCACCCCTGTGTAAAAGCTTAAACCAGAACCTTATTGTGATGGGAGGGGTTAAATGTTGAACGTTTTTAATAATATATTGTAGAGGTAGCAGTCTATCAGAAGATTGGCGGTGTGGCTTATTTGGAGGCGTGGCTTTCAGATAGTTCTTTTTGGACACACTTTTTGGTAAATGTCATTCCTGTTCATCATGCTAAGTTTGTACAACGCAAAAAAAAAAAAAATCCTTTAATATTTATGCATATTACATATTACATAGTGATGGGAAACCAAGGCTTTCTGAACCCTTTGGGGCTTTCGCCAAGTTGTGCCGAAAAATGGTGAATTATTTGGAGCGATTAACAGAGTGCACATTAGTGGCATCTGCTGGTCAGGAAAAAATATCTGCATGTTTGACGTTTATATAGACTTGTTTTCCCATCCATCAAAACTTTGTGGCGCAATGGACAGATAAACAAATTTTAGTTAGAATGTGGGGTTCGCAAAACATATATATTCTACTTACCCTTTTTGCCTCCAGGTTCACAATTTTTAATAAAACTGTGCATCCGTGATATTATTTAGGATGCTGAAGACAAAAGAGTATCATAGGCTACACTAAATAAAACAAAGTATTTGAACAACAATGGGAAGATAGTGTGGTTTCACAGAAAATACATTTTCAACCATAGCCAGTATCTGATCTTGTGCCTATGCTGGTGTCTGATCCCAAATCCCCATCCCTACCTGCTGAACTACTATTCAGGTACTATAAACTGAAACAAATCTAAATAAATTGGTAAATAAGTTGTCCAGTAGAGGTCGGTGTTTGAAAGCAGCTTTGCATCGAAGAAAGCAACTTTGCATTGAAGAAAGCACCTGTGCTGGGGCGAAATCAGCGGGATCTTCCATTTTGCACCACACAGTTAGAAAAAGCATGTGATCGAATGAAGCTTCGGAAGTCATTGATCGCATGGTAATGTTACTTTGAAGCTATCTGTCTATGCTTTGAAAGGAGCAACCTAGTAAAAAAAGAAACCTAGTTTCAAAAAAATTTTTTTTTTTTAGCCCTTTTTCGTGATATCCAATTGGTAGTTACAGTCTTGTCCCATCGCTGCAGAGAGCCATGCGTCCTCCGAAACACGACCCTTCCAAGCCGCACTGCTTGCTTAACCCAGAAGCCAGCCTCACCAATTTGTCGGAGGAAACACTGTACAACTGCCGACCGTGTCAGCGTGCATGCATCCGGCCCGCCACAGGAGTCGCTACAGCGCGATGGGTCAAGGACATCCCAGCTGGCCAAACTCTCCCCTAACCCAAATGTGCATCGCCTCATGGGTCTCCCGGTCACGGCCGGCTGCAACACAGCCCAGGATCGAACCCGGATCTGTAGTGACACCTCAAGCACTGTAGTGCCTTAGACCGCTGCGCCACTCGGGAGGCCCCGAATTAAACTTTTTTTAACTCACTTTTACATATTAACAAAAAAATGTGGATCCATAATTTGAAAATTATCTATTACAACTACTAAAGCTGTTTCATTTACAATCACTGTTTGAGAAATAAAAAACTCTGCTAAAGATTTCAGAATAGATAACTCTGCCGTGTGGCTCTATTCCCTGAGCTATCTTTCCACCTGCTAAGAAGGTGAAATATCTAGATAAAAACAAAACGCTTCCAGCAGGGGTCGTCGCTCTTACTTCCAAGTTCCGACATTTGACAGATTTGTAGTGTGACGTTCGAAGCTTTTAACGTCATCATCACGTAGTATTGTTTCTTCGATACAAGCATCGTTACGTTGTGTCGAATCCAGGCCCCCAGTGTCCGGTCTGGAGTGTGAAGTCACAAGCTCTGCTGGTCGGCTACTGCGTAGCAACATAGCGGTGCCAAAAGCCCTGATCTGCCATAGAAAGCCTATATAAAGTACTGATTTTTAGACTGTCGTTTTAGGCTCTAAAATGTGTTTATTATGATAAAGTTGAATTATTTTAAAGTTCACTACAAATCGAGATATTTAATTAAATAGTGATCCATTCTGACTACTACATTTGTCATCACACAGGACCACATGCTGACACAGACCAATCACGGGCCGGCAGGCTACGAGGAGGCTCCTGGTTGACTCTCTCAGGCAGGATGAAAACGATTACATTGACCATGATCATTTGCTAATTACGGCTACTTTCACCATGATCCTTGGCGCTTCAAATCCAAATACTTCCGGCTTCATGAGCCATAAGGAGCTTTCTATTGGAATACGTGGATGACGTCAGCGCTATCACTATCAACTGGTTTTAATGTCTATGGTCGAATCAGTAGTGCTTTGAAAACTGCATCGGAGCATCGGCGCTCCGGTATAAATTGTCCCATCACTACAAATTCTAATATAATAATAATATTAACATTGCTAATTACATTAATTAATAAAGTGGTAACTATTCCAACTTTTGGATTTGCATAGACTCTTGAGGAAAACTGTCAGTGTTCAACCTTAACATGTGATGACAATACAACAGTCTCAATCTTGTTTTATGCAAAGGGTCCCGAAAATTAGAACCGAGCATGGAAAAAGGTTATTTCAGCCCCCTAGTCTTGGAATTCCCTCCAAGCCAACCTGAAAAAAGGAGTTCAAAGGACAAATAGATGAACAGGTTGTTTCTAGCCACTAGCTTGCATTGCCTTATTATATGCCATTTAGCAGACGCTTTTATCCAAAGCGACTTACAGTCATGCGTGCATACATTTTTTTTTTTTTGTGTATGGGTGGTCCCGGGGATCGAACCCACTACCCTGGCGTTACAAGCGCCGTGCTCTACCAGCTGAGCTACAGAGGACAACATGTAAGGAAGCATGTTGTTTTACTTCACACACACCACACACATCCACTGTTTGTTTGCTGTTGGATTTGTGCTGTTGTCAGTGTCTTCTGTCTGTGTTGTCCATTTTGTCTTACATTGTTTTGTGGGTTTTTCATCCCAGCCCCAGCCGGAAGCCTTTTGCCTCTAACCAAGCCTTCATTGCAAATTATTATTTGTTCTTATTGACTAGCCTGGTTAAATAAAGGTTAAATAAACAACAATAAAAAACAGAACAGATGAACACCAATGCCATTTACTCTAACGGATTGCCAAAAAATATGTATCTTTAAGCCATGCCCCTAATAAGCCACGTCTCTAGTCTGAGGTTCCTCCAGAAATCCTTTGCTACATTGAAACGTTAGAGGTTCCTCCAATAACCCCTCAACTAACCAAAGGTGCAAATATGAACAATTGACCAATGGCAATGGTTCCTTGAGAATCTCCAGGGTTCCTCGAGTCACCACTAATTCTAAGAGTGTAGAGCTGATACCTGTCTGCTTCTGAGAGAAGGAAGGGGGATTATTGATTCCATGGCTTTGTTTAAATAATAAACAATTATCTATAACCCCATGTGTGTGTGTGTGTGTGTGTGTGTGTGTGTGTGTGTGTGTGTGTGTGTGTGTGTGTGTGTGTGTGTGTGTGTGTGTGTGTGTGTGTGTGTGTGTGTGTGTGTGTGTGTGTGTGTGTGTGAGTGTGTGTGTGTGTCTGTGTGTGCATGTGTGCAGTCCCTGTCTTAGTGGTATGGCTTTGAGGAGATATAAAAAATAAAACAACGTATGCACTCACTAACTGTAAGTCGCTCTGGATAAGAGCGTCTGCTAAATTACTAAAATGTAAATGTAAATCAAGTGGGACTATTTCCACCACAGTCTCTTCTTTCCTCCACATCAGTATATCTAGAGGGAGAGAGGGGGAATCTAGAGGGAGAGAGGGGGAATCTAGAGGGAGAGAGGGGGAATCTAGAGGGAGAGAGGGGGAATCTAGAGGGAGAGAGGGGATAATTCAAGGAGAGAGAGAAAGAGAGGACCATATGGAATAGAGAGAGAAAGGAAAGAGAAGGGGGAGAGGAGTGTGTATGAGCGGGAGGAGGAGGAGGTGTATGAGCGAGGGGAAGGGAGGAGAGAGGAGTGTGTATGAGCGAGGGAGGAGAGAGGAGTGTGTATGAGCGAGGGAGGAGAGAGGAGTGTGTATGAGCGAGGGAGGAGAGAGGAGTGTGTATGAGCGAGGGAGGAGAGAGGAGTGTGTATGAGCGAGGGAGGAGAGAGGAGTGTGTATGAGCGAGGGAGGAGAGAGGAGTGTGTATGAGCGAGGGAGGAGAGAGGAGTGTGTATGGCAGCACCTGTCCTGGGTGATAATGAGCTCCAGCAGTGACATCCATCCACTCAACAGAAAGAGAGGAAAACAACACAACAGCAGAAATGCTCTGCTTCTCGTTCTGGAGGATGGGATCAACACCGTGACACACAGTCTCTCTGAGTGTGCGCTTATGTGTGTGCGTGTGTGTGTGTGTGTGTGTGGTCAGTGCAGACTCACGTGATAGTGTCGATCATGTCCAGGCCCATCTCTACACAGCAGTGTGCATGGTCTGCCTTGGGTTGGGTCAGACCTGACACACAGTAGTAACAGTCCCCCAGGATCTTTATACGCCTACAGTGGTTCTCCTGGAGAGAGAGGGGGGAGGAGGGGGAGGAGCGGGAGCGGGAGAGGGAGAGAAGAGCGGGGTAGAGGAGAGAGGAGGAGAGGGGGGAGAGAGAGGGGGGGAAGAGGGAGGGAAGAGATAAGAGAGGGGAGAGATAGAGGAAGAGAAACAGAGGGCAATGGAGAGGTGAAGAAATGGGGAGGAAGAGAGACAGGAATTTTCATAATTGCAAATAATGATGATAAAAAAAAGGGTCCTTCTCAGTCAAAACCTGTAACAGGGCTTCCATGATAAACCTGTACAGGGCTTCCATGATAAACCTGTAACAGGGCTTCCATGATAAACCTGTAACAGGGCTTCCATGATAAACCTGTAAAGGGGCTTCCATGATAAACCTGTTACGGGTCTTCCATGATAAACCTGTTATGGGGCTTCCATGATAAACCTGAAACGGGGCTTCCATGATAAACCTGTTACGGGGCTTCCATGATAAACCTGTAACAGGGCTTCCATGATAAGTCTTCCTAATAAAGAAACAGGGAGAACACTTCTCGAGTACCTGTACATACTTCTCCGATCAGACACTGATTAGTGCTGCTGAGCATAGAGAAACTAGCAGAGAAAAATGAGCAAGGGAACACAGGGAAGTGAGGGCATAAATACACAGGTGAACAGGTAGACACAGGTGACACCAATAGGATGATGATTAGTCCAGACTGTGAGTAAGGAGGTGCCTAAGGTTGTCGGAGGATGACACCTAGTGGGTCGCTCCGGAACTGCGACCCCCTCCTGTAACTGTGCAAGCAGCCACGAAGGCACGCGTATCCACCTCAGCTGATGGCCACCAGAACCTCCTACGCAGGAACTCCAATGTCCTGGCGCCCTCCGGATGGCTGGTCAGGTTGGACGTATTCGCCCACTGAAGCAGTCGCAAGCGCGCCGCCTTGGGTATGTACATCCTCCCCGATGGACCTCCGCCCGGAACGGGCTCCCGCCGTAGCACTGCTCTGACCAGCCTATCGATTCCCCACAAACCTGGGGCAGCAATCAGGGCGTTGGGGACAATGGGGTCGTCCCTCTCCACCAGGTCCACGGACGGTATGAGATCGTGAACCGGAACCTGGTGAAGAACAACGCCCACCTGGCCTAGCGCGAGTTGAGCCTCTTGGCCCCCTGAATGTAGGCTAAGTTCTTATGGTCAGTCCATACGACGAATGGATGGGCGGCCCCCTCTAGCCAATGCCTCCACTCCCCCAGGGCGAACATGACCGCTAGCAGCTCACAATTTTCAGCAGTTCCGAGTCGTTTGACCCCACATGGACTACGACAGCGTCAGCCCCCGGCAGCTGTCGTAGAACGGTAGCAAGCGGCATTGTAATGTCCTGTACTCGTGCTCCAAGATAGCACAGGGTTTGTGCCCCAGGAACTGAGATGTTTCTCACCATAGAGCTGCTGCCAATGATGACAGCTGGTGAAATGGATGAGGAGGTCCGGCCATTCTTTCGCCTCGAGTAGTTTAGAAGACCCCTCAAGAACGGATGGGAGGTGGGGCCCAATGGACCCGAGCCAGCCATAGAATCCATTGTCGCTGATGAAGGAGCCGGAGTCTCAGACACCCTCACGGTCCGATGAGGGGGGAGCTCTGAAGATCTGAACCCGAGGTAGGAGGGCAAAGCTGTTTGATGTCTGGATTGGGCTTCCCAAAGCCAAGGAAGCCCTGTTCATCATTGACCGCTGCCTTCCATTAGGCTTACAGCTGGTGACGTGGTTCCATTGCTGAGACTGTGGCATCCGCTAGGTCCTCTAGAGGCGTCAGTCCTGTTCCATTTTCCACAGGAGGGGGAGATTTCTTCAGTGAGAGGTCCCTGTGAAGCACTGGCAAGTCAGTCAAAGAGTGGTGACAGGGCGGTGATACTCTCCCCATATCGGAAAGACGTCCAGCCTGAGGTGTAGAAGGAGGAGAAGATAGACGGACGTGGTTTCCCCAGCAAATCGTGCAAGGCTGAGACAGCTCGGTCCTGTAGTCCTCCGCAAGTAGGCAGTTTTTGCATTGAAAATCCGGTCGGTCCACAGTGTCCCGGAAAAGAGCATAGTAAACATAACTCCTACAACGCAGGAAGCGTTCGCCTCCTCCTCTGAATGGGGAGGCCTCCATGAGAAAAGACATTCCAAGATCGGGAAAATCCTCTCAGCTATCTTCATTAGTTTGATGGCTAGCAGCTTAGCTAGAGCTAGAGCTGTCAAGCAGGCTGTCTGTTAAGCGGGATTCCGGGACAAGAAATAACAGTCCTAGCTGTTGATAGCTAACCGCGTTAAGGAATCCGTGCAATAACCAGTACAGTGTTAATAATCTAACTTAGATTGGTTATTTTTTGTCAAAAACAACAAACCGAGTAGCTGAGTGTTTCCATCATTGAGCGTCCAGCTCTGCAGCCTGAGAAATACAAATACAAAGATTCATCACCATGACTCAATTTGTGTGCAGTACTTGGAAAGACAACAGGAAACAAATATTTTTACAGATTACCCGCAATTATAAAACACCAAGATAATATGACTCAAGAACTGTCAGAAAAGTGTAGAAACCTTTTTGCCCGTCAAGACCTGAACCCAGACAGCTAAACTCAGCAAAAAAAGAAATGTCCTCTCACTGTCAACTGCGTTTATTTTCAGCAAACTTTTCATGTGTAAATATTTGTATGAACATAACAAGATTCAACAACTGAGACATAAACTGAACAAGTTCCACAGACATGTGACTAACATAAATTTTATAATGTGTCCCTGAACAAAGGGGGGGGGGGGGGGGTCAAAATCAAAAGTAACAGTCAGTATCTGGTGTGGCCACCAGCTGCATTAAGTACTGCAGTGCATCTCCTCCTCATGGACTGCACCAGATTTGCCAGTTCTTGCTGTGAGATGTTACCCCACTCTTCCACCAAGGCACCTGCAAGTTCCCAGACATTTCTGGGGGGAATGGCCCTAGCCCTCACCCTCTGATACAAAAGGTCCCAGACGTGCTCAATGGGATTGAGATCCGGGCTCTTTGCTGGCCATGGCAGAACACTGACATTCCTGTCTTGCAGGAAATCACGCACAGAACGAGCAGTATGGCTGGTGGCATTGTCATGCTGGAGGGTCATGTCAGGATGAGCCTGCAGGAAGGGTACCACATGAGGGAGGAGGATGTCTTCCCTGTAACGCACAGCGTTGAGATTGCCTGCAATGATAACAAGCTCAGTCCGATGATACTGTGATACACCGCCCCAGATCATGACGGACCCTCCACCTCCAAATCGATCCCGCTCCAGCGTACAGGCCTCGGTGTAACGCTCATTCCTTCGACGATAAATGCGAATCCGACCATCACCCCTGGTGAGACAATACCGCAACTCGTCAGTGAAGAGCACTGTTTGCCAGTCCTGTGTGGTCCAGCGACGGTGGGTTTGTGCCCAAAGGCGACGTTGTTGCCGGTGATGTCTGGTTAGGACCTGCCTTACAACAGGCCTACAAGCCCTCAGTCCAGCCTCTTGCGGACATTCTGAGCACTGATGGAGGGATTGTGCGTTCCTGGTGTAACTCAGGCAGTTGTTGTTGCCATCCTGTACCTGTCCCGCAGGTGTGATGTTCGGATGTACCGATCCTGTGCAGGTGTTGTTACACATGGTCTGCCACAGCGAGGACGATCAGCTGTCCGTCCTGTCTCCCTGTAGCGTTGTCTTAGGCATCTCACAGTACGGACATTGCAAGTTATTGCCCTGGCCACATCTGCAGTCCTCATGCCTCCTTGCAGCATGACTAAGGCACGTTCACTTAGATGAGCAGGGACCCTGGGCATCTTAATTTTGGTGTTTTTCAGAGTCAGTAGAAAGGCCTCTTTAGTATCCTAAGTTTTTCAAAACTGTGACCTTAATTGCCTACTGTTTGTAAGCTGTTAGTGTATTAACGACCGTTCCACAGGTACATGTTCATTCATTGTTTATGGTTCATTGAACAAGCATGGGAAACAGTGTTTAAACCCTTTACAATGAAGATCTGTGAAGTTATTTAGATTTTTACGAATTATCTTTGAAAGACAGGGTCCTGAAAAAGGGATGTTTTTTTTGCTGAGTTTTTGTATATGAATCAGAATGTTCTTTCTTGTAGCAAGGGTTATGACGACTAGGAAATCAGGTTACAGGATTTGCTTGAATAATAATAATAATATAATATGCCATTTAGCAGACGCTTTTATCCAAAGCGACTTACAGTCATGCGTGCATACATTTTTGTGTATGAATGAGACCCAATCGTTTCCACTGTGTGTCTGGAAATAATGAGTAGGACTCAATATAAGAATGTAGAATATCAGAGATATTTAGTGTGTGTGTGTGTGTGTATGTGTGTGCGCGTGTGTGCGTGTGTGTGTGGGTGCGTGTTTCAGGCTAACTCTAATGGCTCCGACATGCTCTTGAAGTAGAATCCCTCCCACACATTCCCACAGAGATTAGCTATTTGTCACAGAGCACAAATTCACCAGCATCAACAACACACACACACAAATACAAATACACAGACACACACACACAGACAGAGATATAAAGACACACACAGACACACGCAGATGCATGTACACATTCACAAGGACACACACAAGAATACGCACCTACAGTAGACACACAAACACAACCAAAAGCAGAGGCCTACACACACAGCTACACAGGCACACAAACACCTAACCAGAAAACACAACCAGGATATCCAGTTAGCACCATATCACACATCAGCACATCAGAGACACGTAAGGGTAGACATACAATAATTAGGCTGAAGTCACCCACCTTCACACACACACACACACACAGGGGAGCGATGCATGGCAACAGCAGTGAGAAGCAGAGATGAGATGAGAGGAGACGGGGAGCTCCGGTTTTCTGCTCACAGGAGCAGAATAATTCTGTGTGTGTATGTGTGTGTGTGGTGTGTGTGTGCATGTGTGCGTGTGTGTGTGTGTGCGTGTGTGCATGTGTGTGTGTCACGTAA